ACTCACTAACAACTCCTTAATAACAACTCCTTACTTACTAACAAGTCCTTATATACTAACAACTCCTTGCTTACTAGCAAGTCCTTACTAATAACTCCTAACATTTCTAATTGCTGGTGGGGTTGCCCCCCGCCCCCCCCCCCCCCCACCTGAATATCGCACGACTGTGATGCATCTCGTGACTTAAAGTTCCCATCCATGGCCTGGTGCCCGACGTTCTTCCTGCGCTTAACTCGCGACACACCCGCCGGTGTCTTCTCAGAGGAATGCCAAAGCCAGCAGGTGCGACGACGATGATGATGATGTTGATGTTTGGGTCTCGAGCGAGGTGTTTATGATTATGATTATTATTCTGGACGTCTGCGTTGCTCAACTCTGTTTCGCAAGCGGTTCCTACCGGATCGGGCTGAGATTCCAGGATGGTGACAGCAGCAGCAGCAGCAGCGCGATCATCAGAAGTGGTGGTGGTGGGGGGGGGAGGGGGGAGGATCGGAACTTGAATTTGCGTCGAGGGATAATTGTTGAGGCCGTGCTTTGATGACTGATATGGGTGCCGTTTGTTAAGAAAGTTCGCGAACTCCCGTTGCAGTTCGCGCAGATGCCTCTGCGGGAATTTGGTGGCAAACGGTTCGCAGGAGCAGGGAGCGGGGAGTTTCTTGTTGGTCTGGGGGTGGTCCGGCTCGGATGCATCGCTTTAGGAAGCGCTTCTGTGGCCGCCTGGAACGCTCTCCCTTCCGATATGAGGAAGTCGCTGGGAGCTTTGATGCACTTTTAAGTTACCCCGATTGACAAACTCATTTCTTGGGAACAGCTTTTTGTTGTTGTTTAGTTTGCTGTCCTTCCCAAGGAACCTCCGCTTAGCACGGTTGGCTCAGTACGGTGCAAAAGAAGTTCAACAAACATACCATCACCACCTCATTATCACTTTCATTATCACCACCTCATTATCATGACCACCATATCCTCATCGCCATCATCACCTCATCATCACTTTCCTCATCACCATCACCACCTCCTCATCACCATCACCACCTCCTCATTATCACCACCTCCTCATTATCACCACCTCCTCATCAGTGTGACGTCCTGTATGCGTGCAGGTATGGCATGCATGGGTGAACTTCTTTCGCACCGTACGTAGCCAACCGTGTTAATCCGAGGTGCAGTGTTGAGTCTATGGGCAGTGTTGAGTCTATGGGCAGTGTTGAGTCCATGGTGCAGTGCTAAGTCGATGTGCAGTGTTGAGTCTATGGGTAGTGTTAATCTATGGTGCAGTGTTGAGTCTATGGGCAGTGTTGAGTCTATGGGCAGTGTTGAATCTATGGGCAGTGTTGAGTCTATGGTGCAGTGTTAAGTCGATGGGCAGTGTTAAGTCTATGGGCAGTGTTGAGTCTATGTGCAGTGTTGAGTCTATGGGCAGTGTTGAGTCTATGGGCAGTGTTGAGTCTATGGGCAGTGTTGAGTCTATGGGCAGTGTTGAGTCTATGGGTAGTGTTGAGTCTATGTGCAGTGTTGAGTCTATGGGTAGTGTTGCGTCTATGGTGCAGTGTTGAGTCTATGGTACAGTGCTGAGTCTATGGTGCAGTGTTGAGTCTATGGGCAGTGTTGAGTCTATGGTGCAGTGTTGAGTCTATGGGTAGTGCTGAGTCTATGTACAGTGTTGAGTCTATGTGCAGTGTTGAGTCTTTGTGCAGTGTTGAGTCTATGTGCAGTGTTGAGTCTATGTGCAGTGTTAGTCTATGTGCAGTGTTGAGTCTATGTGCAGTGTTGAGTTTATGTGCAGTGTTGAGTCTATGTGCAGTGTTGAGTCTATGGGTAGTGTTGAGTCTTTGTGCAGTGTTGAGTCTATGTGCAGTGTTGAGTCTATGTGCAGTGTTGAGTCTTTGTGCAGTGTTGAGTCTATGTGCAGTGTTGAGTCTTTGTGCAGTGTTGAGTCTATGTGCAGTGTTGAGTCTATGTGCAGTGTTGAGTCTATGGGTAGTGTTGAGTCTATGGGTAGTGTTGAGTCTTTGTGCAGTGTTGAGTCTATGTGCAGTGTTGAGTCTATGTGCAGTGTTGAGTCTTTGTGCAGTGTTGAGTCTATGGGTAGTGTTGAGTCTTTGTGCAGTGTTGAGTCTATGTGCAGTGTTGAGTCTATGTGCAGTGTTGAGTCTATGTGCAGTGTTAGTCTATGTGCAGTGTGTATGTTACGTTGAACTTCCTTCGCAATCGGAGGTTGTTGGGGAAGGGACATAGGGTGTATGCAATGGCAGTACAGCAAGTGGGTTCATTTCCATCTGTATTCCATCTGTTCGGGGGTTGAGTGTCACCACTCTCGTGTGTGTTTGTGTTTTCTCCGCGCGCTGCGCTACGAACCCGGCCACCCGAGTTCGATTCCCGCTCACGGCCAACACCCAGTGTGACGATTATCTGAACCGGTCCCGGGCCTCCCCTAGGTCGACTCGGCCTCAAATGAGTACCCGGTGCGATGTGTAAAAGATCACCGCTGGGGAGACAAAGGCGGCCGGGCGTGGTGCTGGCCACCCACCCCGTCGTGTGCCGTGCCGCACTTAACTGGTGCCACTCGCTGACAGCACTTGCCCCAATAGTCTATTAAGGCTATATGGGGTATCTTTGTCTTTGTGTCCTCCTGGCCGACTCCTGTTTACCTTCCCGCACTTACAAACGACTCGGTCTCGTACTTGGCCAAAGGAACATCCAAACACAGGCACGCAGAGCTCGGGGCAAATTGTTGGCGTCGGTTCTGGCCACCGTGCCGCGTTGTCTGAGTATTTCCCCCGCGTGTCTCTCAGTCTGTCTCTGTCTCTCTCTGTGTGTGTGTCTTTGTCTCTCTCTGTCTGTCTCTCTCCACCTCTCTGTCTGTCTCTCTGTCTCTCTCTCCGCTTTTCTGTCTGTGTCTCTCTGTCTGTCTCTCTGCCTCTCTCTCTGTCTATCTGTCTGTGTCTCTCTGTCTTTCTCTCTCTGTCTGTCTCTCTGTCTATCTGTCTGTCTCTCTATGTCTGTCTCTCTCTGTCTGTCTCTCTCTGTCTGTCTGTCTCTGTCTGTCTCTCTCTCTCCGCTTCTCTGTCTCTCTCTCTGCCTCTCTCTCTCTCTGTCTATCTGTCTGTTTCTCTCTGTCTGTCTCTCTGTCTCTCTCTCCGCTTCTCTGTCTGTGTCTCTCTGCCTCTTTCTCTGTGTCTATCTGTCTGTCTCTCTCTCTGTCTCTCTGCCTCTCTCTCTGTGTCTATCTGTCTGTCTCTCTCTCTGTCTCTCTGTCTCCGCTTCTCTGTCTGTCTCTCTGTCTGTCTCTCTCTGTATGTCTCTCTCTCTGTCTGTCTCTGTCTGTCTCTCTCTCTCTCCACCACTGTGTCTCTCCGCCTCTCTGTCTCTCCCCGCCTCTCCCTCCGCCTCTCTGTATCTCCGCCATTCTGTCTACCTGTCTCTCTGCCCGCCACTCTGTCTCTCTCCCCGTCTCTCTCCCCGTCTCTCTGCCTCTCTGTCTCTCTGTCTGTCTCTCTCCCCGCCTCTCTCTCTGTCCTCGGACGAACGACACCGGCGCTCGACACCAATGTACACTCAACCCCGTTTATTTATTCTGCGACAAAACCGCGGGAGGGTCGACAGGGAACGGCTTCGTTCGGGATGAGCAGCAGGAGGAGCAGGAGGAGGAGGCGGCGGTGGGGTCGGCGTGGAGTCTGAGACGTTTGGGACGCGGTAATTGGGAATGGTGATGAGGGAAGCGATGGGACAGATTTGGGGTTTTATTTGGGGTGGTCGTGGGTTTCTCCCTCGCTCGCTCTCTCTCTCTCTCTCGCAAATTGAATAAAGGCGATTCGACCGGGCGATTTGGACGGGGCGGATAATTGTGATAGGCGGTATCGGTTACTCTCAAGTTGCCCGCAATTGCAACAAGCAACGAGGATTTGTCGGCTCGCGAAGCGTACCGCGCCAGGCACAGCGGTTGTAAACATTTGAATGTCCGCGTCAACCCGAGCTACCCCACCACCACCACCACCACCTCGCCTGACCCCAACATCGTTCTGAGAAATAACTGTATGAAGAATGAACGTCGATATTTGTGGTAGCGGTGCGTGCTGTGTGTTGGTCGTGGTGGTGGTGTTGCGTGCTGTGTGCTGTAGTGGTGGTGGTGGCAGGTGCTGTGTGTTGTAGTGGTGGTGGCAGGCGCTGTGTTGTAGTGGTGGTGGCAGGCGCTGTGTTGTAGTGGTGGTGGCAGGCGTTGTGTGTTGGTAGTGGTGGTGGTGATGCGTGCTGTGTGTTGGTAGTGGTGGTGGCAGGCGCTGTGTGTTGTAGTGGTGGTGGTGGTGGCAGATGCTATGTGCTGTAGTGGTGGTGGTGGCAGGGGTTGTGTGCTGTAGTGGTGGTGGCAGGTGCTGTGTTGGTAGTGGTGGTGGCAGACGCTGTGTGTTGTAGTGGTGGTGGCAGGGGTTGTGTGTTGTCGTGGTGGTGGCAGGCGCTGTGTGTTGGTAGTGGTGGTGGCAGACGTTGTGTGTTGTAGTGGTGGTGGCAGGGGTTGTGTGTTGTCGTGGTGGTGGCAGGCGCTGTGTTGGTAGTGATGATGGCAGGCGCTTTGTGTTGTAGTGGTGGTGGCAGGGGTTGTGTGTTGTCGTGGTGGTGGCAGGCGCTGTGTTGGTAGTGATGATGGCAGGCGCTTTGTGTTGTAGTGGTGGTGGCAGGCGCTGTGTTGGTAGTGATGATGGCAGGCGCTTTGTGTTGGTAGTGGTGATGGCAGGCGCTGTGTGTTGGTAGTGGTGATGGCAGGCGCTGTGTGTTGTAGTGGTGATGGCAGGCGCTGTGTGTTGGTAGTGGTGGTGGCAGGCGCTGTGTGTTGGTAGTGATGATGGCAGGCGCTGTGTGTTGGTAGTGGTGATGGCAGGCGCTGTGTGTTGGTAGTGGTGATGGCAGGCGCTGTGTGTTGTCGTGGTGGTGGCAGGCGCTGTGTGTTGTAGTGGTGGTGGCAGGGGCTGTGTCCTGTAGCGGCGGTGTGCGCCGCGTGTTGGCAGGTCACGAGCTGGCCATGTCGGATGGGGACTATGACTACCTCATCAAGCTGCTGGCGCTGGGCGACTCGGGCGTCGGCAAGACGAGCTTCCTGCACCAGTACACCGACGGGATCTTCCGCGCCAAGTTCATCGCCACGGTCGGCATCGACTTCAAGGAGAAGCGAGTGGTGGGTTGAGCGCAGGGCCCCCCGGCTTCCTCTCAAAAGGTCAAATCGACTTCCTCGCTCGACCGAGCGTCGAGGTCGTTGCGCGTACGGGGACTCTCCTCTACTCACGAACGAGCTAGGTTCCAGAGGTCCGTTGTCGTTAGTCGATTTGTCCGTGAGTCCGACTTTGCCCCTGTCGATTCCAAACGGGTTGTACGGCGTGCAGACTAAACACGGGGGAATGTCTTTAACAGTTGTAGATGTAGATGGCACTGGTTCGTCATGTTCTGTAGATGCCACTGGTTCTTCACGTTCTGCAGACGTAGATGCTCACTGGTTCTTCACGTTCTGCAGATGTAGATGCCACTGGTTCTTCACTTTCTGCAGATGTAGATGCCACTGGTTCTTCACGCTTTGCAGATGTAGATGCCACTGGTTCTTCACGTTCTACAGATGTAGATGCCACTGGTTCTTCACGTTCTGTAGACCTAGATGCCACTGGTTCTTCCCGTTCTGCAGATGTAGATGCCACTGGTTCTTCACGTTCTGTAGACGTAGATGCCACTGGTTCTTCCCGTTCTGCAGATGTAGATGCCACTCGTTCTTCACGTTCTGCAAATGTAGATGCCACTGGTTCTTCACGTTCCGCAGATGTAGATGCCACTGGTTCTTCACGTTCCGCAGATGTAGATGCGGCCGGTTGTTCTGCAGTCATCGCGATGTCAGTATTCCACGACTTTGTAATTGCGATTCACATTTGTTGTTGCTGTTGTTATCGTCTCGCGTTTTTGTGCTTTTGGCTCGCAACGTTGCACTCCAGCCTGGCCCCCGGGAGCCGGTACACAAAACTGTTAGGATGATGCACATTTTAAATAACGCAATTACCCATCGTACGTGTGTACGCCACTGGAGCTATGCTACTTTTAAATCATCTAGGTTGATAACTCATTTTTTTACTGCCTTTTATGTTTAACTTGTTGTCCTTCCAACGCACCTCCAATTAGCACGGTTGGCTACGTACCGTGCGCGAAAGAGGGTCAACATACATGTATGTACACGTGTCTTAATGGATATGTCTGTGTGTACAAAGAACAATTTTTTTTTGCGCACCGTACGTAGCCAACCCACGCTAAATCCGAGGTCCGGGAAATAAAGCGGAGAATGCGGTCGCCCTTTGCGATTTTAAAGACGGGGATTTGCCGTCTAGCCGTGAACCCCGATGGTTTCCACCAAGTTGAGTCTCGAACAGTCAACCCCAATGGTTTCCACCAAGTTGAGTCTCGAACAGTCAACCCCAATGGTTTCCACCAAGTTGAGTCTCGAACAGTCAACCCCAATGGTTTCCACCAAGTTGAGTCTCGAACCGTCAACCCCAATGGTTTCCACCAAGTTGAGTCTCGAACAGTCAACCCCAATGGTTTCCACCAAGTTGAGTCTCGAACCGTCAACCCCGATGGTTTCCACCAAGTTGAGTCTCGAACAGTCAACCCCAATGGCTTCCACCAGGTTTACCAGGCCTCGGGCGAGGAGGGCCTTCTGGGTGGACGCAAGCAGAAGATTCATCTCCAGCTGTGGGACACTGCCGGCCAGGAGAGGTGACCTCACCACCACCATCACCACTACCAACTGCTTCCGTCACCACCACCATCACCACTACCAACTGCCTCCACCACCATCACCACTACCAACTGCTTCTGTCACCACCACCATCACCACTACCCACTCCCTCCGTCACCACCACCATCACCACTACCAACTGCCTCTGTCACCACCACCATCACCACTACCAACTGCCTCCGTCACCACCACCATCACTACTACCAACTGCCTCCACCACCATCACCACTACCAACTGCGTCCAACATCACCACCACCATCACCACTTCCAACTGCCTCCACCACCATCACCACTACCAACTCCCTCCACCGTCACCACCACCGTCACCACTGTCACTGTTATCACCGCCACCATCACCGTCACCACCACCGTCACCACTGTCACTGTTATCACCGCCACCACCATCACCAACCACCTCCACTGTCACCATCGCAATCACCACCGTCACCGACGTGGCCACCGTCACCTCTACCGACATCGCCGCCGCCGCCGCCAGCGACTAGCGACCGCGACGTTCCTGCCCCCCCCGTGCAGGTTCCGCAGCCTCACCACGGCGTTCTTCCGCGACGCCATGGGCTTCCTGCTCATGTTCGACCTGACGAGCGAGCAGAGCTTCCTGAACGTGCGCAACTGGATGGGTGAGTCCGTGGGAGCACCCCCACTCCCTCCCCCCACCACGTGCACCTCCCCCCCCCCCAAACCCTCGGGCTCACCCGCAGACTCCGTACTCTCTGGCTCAAGCACGGGCTCCGTGGATTCTTCGACGGTGTCCACGCGGTGCTTCGGCGTGGCCGCACCGGCCACGCGGTCCCCCCACCCCCCCCCCCCGGTCCCATTTACTCGGTCGATGGTCGACCCCGTTGGCTGCGTGGAAGGTTGTAAATCGGGGAGGGTCGACGGTTCGGGGTGGGGGTCCTTTGCAGGAGTGACGATTTGTTGACGTAATTCGGCGGCTCGTCGCTAGGCGTCGCTGTTGAGTAACCATAAGAACGCCACCACCACCACCGCCGTCATCATGCAGCACGTTCAGAATCCGGCTGCTTGTGATGTTAACCGGAACAACCTTCTTCACACCGTATTACGCCCGTGTTGGACCCCCCCCCCACCCCCTGCACTGGCTTCCAGTTTTGCATAGAATACCGTTTTACGATCCTATCGTTAACTTACAAAATGGTGGAACCTTCTTGCCACCAGCCTACATCATTGACATGCTGCACCCACATGTCCCCTTCAAGGTCGCTAAGATCTGGGCGTGCGGATCTTCTCTCTCTAGTCCCAGGTCGAGGCTTCGGTCTTTGAGTGACCGGTGATGTTTCCCCGTCGCGTAGTCCCCAGGCTATGGAACGCTCTTCCGCGAGATATCAGGGATCTCCGAGTCTGTGGACATTAAAAAAAAGCGTCTTAAAACCCTATTTATATACCCTTCCGCTTATGAAGCTTTTAGTTAATTGAGTAAATGGATTCTTAAAAAGTGTTTATTATATTATTACTTTCATGGTGAGTGTCTGCTGCTGTGTCCTGTACGGCGCTTTGAGATTTTTTTTTTAACGAAAAGCCGCTATATTAGTGGAAATATTATTACGGGCACTTCTCTATTCATGAACAATCGACTTACGAACTTTCAGAGATACGAACAAACCCGTCCGTATGTCCAGTTGCCTGTTCATAAGTTCAAACGCCGCACAATAAATGGCGGCAGTGGCATCTACATCTGCAGAACGTGAAGAGCCAGTGGCATCTACATCTACAGAACGTGAAGAACCAGTGGCATCTACATCTGCAGAACATGAAGAACTAGTGGCATCTACATCTGCAAAACGTGAAGGACCAGTGGCATCTACATCTGTAGGAGATTATACAACTCTTAAAGCCATTCCCCCGTGTTTAGTGTACACACCGTACAACATGTTAGGAATCAACAGGGGTAAAGTTGCACTTACGAACAAATCGACTTACGAACCTGCAACATAACTCGTTCCTAAGTAGAGGAGTCCCTGTATTATAAACGGGCGTCTTGAGGTGTTTCCCTATGTATATATGCTTCCGCTTATTAACATTTTACTTCAATTAGTAAAGGGATTTGTAAAATGTGTTTATAATATATTTGCTTTCATGCTGAATGTCTGCTGCTGCTGTGTCCTGTACGGCGCTTTAAGATCCTTGATGAAAAGCTGCTCTTTCAATGTAATTATTACTAATTGTCATCATCACAATCACTCACTCACAGGGTTTGTGGTTGACCCACTCTCCAGCTCAGGTCAGTCCCTCTCAGAAACCAAACTTGAGATGTTTTGGAGAGACTAGTGAAGGGTGATGGCTCATCTTTGTGGTTTTAGAGTTATACGCAGAATGACAATCCCATACCTTTATGGGTCTCCATGTAGCTCTATGGGTCTCTATGATTTACTGTGTCTCCATATCATTCTATGGGTCTCCATGTCACTCTATGGGTCTTCATGTAACTCTATGGGTCTCCACGTAACTCTATGGGTCTCCATGTAGCTCTATGGGTCTCTATGTAACTCTATGGGTCCCTGTGTAACTATATGAGTCTCTGTAAATGTATGGGTCTCTGTGCAATACTATGGGTCTCCTTTAAACTCTGGGTCTCTATGCAACTCTATGGGTCTCTATTGTTTATGTAACTCTATAGGTATCTGTAACGCTATGTATCTCTATGTGAGTCTATGGGTCTCTATGTAACTCTATGGGTCTGTATGCAATTCTATGGAGCTCTATGTATCGCTGTGTGTCTCTATGTAACACTATTGTTCCCCATGCAACACTATGTGTCTCTATGTAACTCTATGGGTCTCTATGTAACTCTATGGGTCTCTATGTAACTCCATGAGTCTGTATGCAACTCTATGGGTCTCTATGTAACTCTATGGGTCTCTCTGTAACTCTAGGGGTCTCTATGTAACTCTATGGGTCTCTATGTAACTCTATGGGTCTCTATGTAACTCCATGGGTCTGTATGCAACTCTATGGGTCTGTATGCAACTCTATGGGTCTCTATGTAACTCTATGGGTCTCTATGCAACTCCATGAGTCTGTATGCAATGCTATGGGTCTCTATGTAACGGGGACGCCACGGTGGCGAGATGTCAACTACCTTGTCTGGCATGCAGGAAGCTGTGGGTTCAATCCCGAGCCCCTGACGCCTGCCGTATGTTGGGAGTTTGCGCGTCTCTCTCCCCCGTGGTCGCGTGGATTTTCATCCTTCCGGGTCCTTCCGTAGTGGTCCCCACCCCACAACATTTACCGCTCGACGTCACGCGTCCCGAGTGCCTGCCCGCCGCCATCGACGGGCGCTCGCCTGCGATAGCCGCGTCGCTTCCGACAAGAACAGACACGCGCGCAGAAGCGCGCCGGGGATCGCGGTTCACGACGTCGTCCACCCGTTTCCGCGTGTGTTCCGCGCGCAGAGCAACTGCAGATGCACGCGTACTGCGAGAGCCCGGACGTGGTTCTGTGCGGACACAAGTCGGACCTGGAGGACCTGCGCGTGGTCTCGGCCAAGCAGGCGCGCGAACTCGCAGACTCTTACGGGTAGCGCTCGCGCACCGCGGACAGGCACCATAGGCGCAGCACTGCACCACAGACTCAACACTGCACCATAAACTCAGCACTGCACCATATATTCTAGATTTAAAGCTTTCGTGACTGCAAGGATTCCATACTCTTTGGTTCTATTCGGTAAAGTCACGTAGGTAAAAAATAAAACAACAAAAATCACGACGTTTCGACCACAACACAAGCGGCCTTCATCAGGTGAAGGGATCAGGCTGTCTCGAGGACAGCGCTGGAGTGAAACAAAGCCAAGCTCAGACCGCGACCTTTAAGCTGTGTGCAAGGAAACAAGGTGTCCTGACAAAGGAATTAGCATAAAAATTAGCATTTGATTGGCTGATTTTAGAAAAGAGGTGGTTTACGTGCCAGTGGACTTGCCGTTTGGCGCGGGGGGGGGGGGAGTTTACCTATTGATGGTGTGAAAAGGGAATTTATAAGAGCTGCGAAAGTTTGGGGTACCACTACTTTAAAAATATACTGTACCATTGAAATTAGTTTAATGTTTAGTTCGATTTAGAACATCTTTCCAATGGTTGCTTAATTTGAAACCATCTTCTCGGTTGAAATTGTGTCTGTGTTTGTAGATCTGAATTGCCTCGTGAACAAATCTCTGATAAAAACCCGTGGGTTTGCAAAGAACCTTGGTATCGGAGAAAATTATATCGTGATCACCCACAGCGTTGTAACAGTGATCAGCTACGGCAGAATAATTCGTTTTGCCGTGTTTCAAATCTGATTTGTGCTCGCGAATTCAGTCAGAGACATGTCGCTTTGTCTCCCCGATATAGCAATCACCGCAGGTACAACTCAATTTGTAAACCCCGGGGTACTGTAAGTCAGGAATGACATCCTTCACGGATGGGATCAGATCACGAATTTTGTGTACTGTATTGAACCGGACCTGGATCTTGTGCCCATAGGCGCAGCACTGCACCTCTGACTAGCGCGGTTGGCTATGTATTTATACTGGCAGAATCCGATGAGCTATGAAGCTCTTTTTCACAGTACGTCCAGTCGGGACATCCGCATTGCCACATGCACACGACACGGCACCCAACGACCTACGCAGATACACAATACGGGCCACGGTCCGCCATCCGGAATCCACGGGGAATTTGGCGGTGCCGATTGATCAACTCCGCCGGCGATCCGCGAGGTTTCATTTGACACGCACGCACGGCGTCACCGGCGGGCGCATCCCGCGACACCGCACGAGGAGCGGAACATTCACCGGGACGCCATCCACCCCCCCCTCCCTCCCTCTCCCTCCCCTCGTGCGACCGACGGCCCGGCGCTGCTGCCGCGTGTTGTGCAGGATGCCTTACTTCGAGTCGAGCGCCGCGTCGGGCGCCAACGTCGCCGCGGCCGTCACCGCGCTGCTCGACCTCATCATGAAGAGGATGGAGTCGACGCTCGGACGCTCCTCGCTGCCCGGCGCCCACAGGGGAAGCGGCGGCGGCCCCGGCGGGGGCTTCGTGGACGGCGCCGGCGACGCCAAGAGGAGTAAATGCGCCTGCTAGCCGCGCCGCCCGCACACGTCCCGGGCGCGGGCCGGCCGGGGTCCGCGCGACGCTCCGTGCGACCCTCCGCGCGACGCTCCGTGCCGTGCCTCTCCCGCCCGCTCGCTCTGGAGCCGCCGCTCGCCTGCCCTACGCAGCCGCAGTACGCAGAGCGACGACGGCAAAGATCCCCACCTCCTCTCCACCTTCTCCACCTCTTCCACCTCCTCCACTTCCTCCTCCCGGGTAGCCCCGTTGGGACGAGTGCCGTTAGGCAGCCGTAGCCCCCTGGTGAAGGTCGGGGAGCCTGCGAGCCGGCGGAGGCGTGGGTCAGCGTCCACGAAACGCAATCGGCCGCCTTTGTATTCCTCCTGCTGCTGGTGTTTTTACTTTCATTCCGATACCTTTGGGGTTAGGCACCAGTGACCAGGTTTCGGATAACCGATTGGCCGTGAGCGGGAATCGAACTCGGGCTACGTAGCGCGGTGCGCTCGCCTGCTGCAATGTGTTCAACACGCAAAGGCAAAGGTCCCCCTTCCTCCCCGTGTAGCCTGTGACGGACTGTCGGGGCAAGTGCTGTTCGTAGCGTGCAGCACTTACGACGGTCGGCACGGCACACGAAGGGGGGGGGGGGGTGGCCGGCCGGCATGGTGCCGGCCGGCCAGCTACCAGGCGGGAACTCTAGGGAGCAGGATGGAGGAGTCTCATTTTGAGGACCGACTTGGGTCCTCAAAATGACAAGCGAGAGAGAAAAAAAAAAGCTTGGGTTGTTGAAGGCGGGGAGCGTAGACACCCAGATCCAGGTTTTGTAGTAAATATCAGCCCACACGTTCTGCTGGATGTGAGCGAGCGCCCGTCCGTCCTTACCTCCCACCAGCCAGCAAAACTTTTAAAAGTAATATTGATCCGAAGCGTTTGCAAAAAAAGAAAACACCTAATTAAAGCTAACACAAAGACAAAGATGCCCCGCTTGCTCGCTAACAGCACCAGCCCCAACATGCTGCGTAGGCTCCCCGTGACAAACACCAAAAACAACGGCCGCCATTCGCCGCTAAAGTGTCGGCGACGTCGCCAGCCCGTCGCCCTTCTCCCCCGCGCCTCCGATTATCGCGGACGGCGACGTGCCGCGCCAAAGGAGCCCGGCGCTCGCGAACGGCGCGCAGCACTTGCGCCAGGCTCGGTTCGCTCTGCCACCGCAAAGAACGGTCGAAGACTCGCCGGCGGGGAGGCCGTGGGACGGACCCACCCCGGTACGTCACCGCCCCGCGGTCCCGCACGCCGCTTTGGGTTCCTCCCCAGCGACTGCCTCTACCGTGCAACCATGGTTGGGGGGGGGGGGGGGGAGGGTCTCTTCTCTTCTCCGCTCACCGCTGACGCTGACGCTGCTGCTGCTGCTGCTGCGAGGACTTCTCAAGACTATTTTTTCCTCGCGCGTTTCAGACTCTGGTGAACTTCTCTGGTGGACTCTGGTCAACTCTTGTGAACTTTGGTGGACTCTCCTTGAGGAGGAGCGCACACGAACACACGGAAGCCCCGTGACGGGATCGAACCGGTGTACATGGCCTTTCCTTAGTGCGGCGTTTTTTCCCTCCTGAAGTTGCACGGAGCGTCTGCCCGGAACAAACAAAAAATGCATGCGACGTTGGCTCCACGTTTGGTTGACGTTGCGTCAGTGTTGGTCCGTCGTTGGTCCTACGTTGGCCCGACGTTTTGTTGACGTTTAGTTGACGTTGGGCCAGCGTTGGTCCGATGTTGGTACAACGTTGGCCTGACGTTTTGTTGACGTTGGGCCAGTGTTGGTCCGACCTTGGTCCGACGTTGGTCCGACGTTGGCCCGACATTGGCCCGACGTCTGGTTGACGTTGGGCCAGTGTTGGTCTGACGTTGGTCCGACGTTGGCCCGACGTTGGCCCGACTCTGGTCCGACGTTTACCGTGTTCTGGGTCTCCCTCTTTCTCTCTTTCTCCCCCTGCGATTGTGACGAGGTTGTGGAAAGTCAGCGGTGGTGCCGTGGCGTAAATCAAAGGGAGTAGCTCATGGTGGTGCAGGATTTATATTTAAACTAAGCTATAAACTCTATGATAGAGGTGTTTTTGGGTTAGATCACGTGAATATAAATGCGTCGTTAAAGCCTCCAGCACTACCCGACACAGCCGATTAGTAAGGTTTGTCACGTAAACAGAACGTGCCAATTCGTTACTAGTGTAGTATTCTTGTATGGAGACGGAGTCGTTGTAGAAGGCAACACGTTTCTTTATTGAATTTATAACAGTGCACACTTGGTCCTTAACACGAAGGGGTAATGGCCCCTTCTACCCACAACCTGTGGAGGTACAGCCTCTGGGCTATCGTACCCTTAACTGCTAGGCTGACTACCCCTATTGCCCTCCGGCTAGCTGGACCTAAAGGAGGCTGACCCACCGCTGGCACCGGTGGGTCCCTGCCCACTGGCCCATCCAGACACGGCGCTGGAAAGGACGTCGGGTTGAGGGAACCTCAGGGTCCTAGCCTACCGACCACTGGCACCGCACTGAGCCTCGGCCCTGACAAGGACGTCGGGGTTTGGGGTCCAGGGTCTTCTTTTCCGTTGTAGGAAGCAAGACGTTTATTTTATATCTTTAACAACAACTCACTACGTCCTTAACACGAAGGGGTAATGGCCCCTTCTACCCACAGCCTGTGGAGGTACAGCCTCCGGGCTATCTTACCCTAGCCACTGGACTGATTACTACTATAGCCCTCCGGCTAGCTGGACCTGGGGGAGGCTGACCCACCGTTGGCACCGGTGGGTCCCTGACCACTGGTCCGTCAAGACCCGGTCCTGAGAAGGACGTCGGGCTGAGAGAACCTCAGGGTCCAAGCCTACCGACCACTATAACCGCACTGAGCCCCGGCCCTCAGAAGGACGTCGGGGCTTGGGGTCCAGGGTCTTTTTATTATTATTTATTTATAAATTTCTCAGCAGAAAAACCAAAGAATAAAACAACAAAGAAACACAAGGCAAACAAAACACTCCATCCCGAGCGCCACGACAGGCCCCTTCCGGTCGCCAGCACATCTGCAGGACACGAACACCCCGGCCCGGTACAGGAATAGGACACGGCTGTGCATAGCGAAGAGCCGTGGTGCTTCGGACCGCGAGCAAGGAACCACCGAAATCGCGCCCTCCCACCAGAGGACCGCGGCACATGCCCCAACACGAGCGCACCCGGACATTAAACCCCCAGACCCCCCCCCCCCCCCAAGGAGCACCCCAACCCGCCCATACACCCGCGCACCACCTGCCACACAACCCGCATGCAATAAAAGCCAGATACCGAAAAAAACCACACACCACCCCACACCCCCGTAACCACCGTCACCAACACCGTCAAATCCGCGCACCATTCCACCTCTTCCCCTTTCCCAGACCGAACACTGACAACTCACGCCCGGACAACGCAACCGGCCGGCGAAAGCCCGTATGTCCACCCCTCACCGCCCCTTCCCCATGGCTCCTGACCCCGCCCTACCAACACCCAGGGTAGCGGCCACTTCCACTTCACACCCGTGGCCTAACCCGGTCCATCTCCACAACCCTCCTCGCCATGTAAAACACCTCCAAAGGCGACATAGGGGACCCAGCCAACTCCTTTCTGCGCGCCTTCCACAAGGCCTCCTTCGCCGAGCCTATTATGGCCCACGCCCGATCCCTGTCACCCCCCCCCCCGCCCCCCGTAAGACTCCCCCACACGATCTCCCGCATTGACACCTGCGCCGGGAAAAAACGGGACAACAGCGGTCCACTCCGTCGCCACACCTCCTGCGCTAAGGGACACTTCACCATGACTTGCACCGCGTCCTCATCATGCGTTGCAGCCCCTCGGGCGTTTGGGGGAACGCGCCATTTGGCGGGCAAGCATGAAGCACCTCGTCCCCAATCTATCCCGGACCGCCAACCAGGACAGGTCCCTCTGCTCCTTTGTGATCGCAGTCGATGAAGTGTTCCTCCACACTTGATGGTGCACAGCCCTCTTCGCGCCCAGCACCTCCTCGCAGGCCTCCCCTTCGTCCACTTCGGCCAACACCTCTCTGGGGTTCCACGGTCCCCCTCTCGGACTCAAACCGTACTCCGTTATGTAGTCTCCCACGACCGCGTTCAGCCAACCCTGCGGCCGGGGCCAAGGGTGTGCCCCTCTACAATTGGGTCATCCCAAGACCCCTCAGGAGCCACGTCAGGCGATACCTCATATAACAAGCAGCCTTCCCCCGGGGCTCTTCAGAAAAAAAAATAACCTCGTAGCATTGCACACGAACATTGAGAACAGCGCACGCGCAACAATCGGGGCGCCCCTCCCCCCGTTCTTGACGCGTTTACACATCACCTCCCTCCTCACTCTCTCCATCCCTCCCCCCCAAATGAACCTGAACAACACCGATTTCAAAATCCTAACCTCCCTCCTACCTGGCGAATACACGCATGCAAGGTGGTTAAGTGTTGGTAAAACCTCCACACTCACCACCAGAATCCTCCCTTCCATCGTAAGCCGTCTCCCGACCCACCTACCTAACCGTCTCCTCACCTGCCTTATCCTCCCTTCCCAGTTTCGTTCTGCCGACCTCTCTCGGCAAAAGGCAACCCCGAAGACCGTGACCTCCTCCGTCTGTATCCCCAACTCCGGCGGCCGGCCCTCAAACAGCCTTGGGTCCCCGAAGACCATCAGCTCGCCCTTCCTCGCGTTCACCTTCAAGCCGGAGGCCAAGCAGAAGCGGTTTGTCTCCTCCATGGCCCCCCACACTGATGCAACGTCCATTTACAATGTCACCTTCCCCTGTTCCTTATTACCCGGGATGGTCACTCCCCTAATCCCCTGGCTGTTCCTTATTGCCTGTGCAAGGGGTTCCATACACACGATAAATAGAACCGGGGACATCGGGCACCCCTGCCTCACCCCCCGACTCCACTGAGATTGTCTCCGAGAGTTCCCCATTCATCAACAGCCTGGTCTTGAGCCCGTGGTAAAG